CCTCCTCCTCCTCCTCCTCCTTTTTCGGCCTTGCTTCGCAACTTCTTTCCCATACCAAATGCCCTGCTGCTCCTGCTGCCCTGCCAGCCTCTCCTGCTGGTTTCTGAGTTGGTGAAAGGATGCGACCGAGCGGAGGTCAAGAGGGTGGACGCGTAAGGAGAGGGTATCGTTGAATGAAGGTGCATCAAACTGGTCAAGCTTGTCGCTAGCAGAGCTCTAGCGGGCGAATGGCGAGATCAAGCTCGCTGGAGGAGGAGACGACTCGTCCGCCTGCCCACCGTCAGGTCCCTGCCATCATCAAGAGCATGCTGTACCGGTCACCATGGCCAGGGCAAGGACCCACCCGTCATGAGCTGCCACAAGGTGAGGAGGAGAAGGAGCATTTTCCTACTCACTTGGAGTCTCTGAGAGGAGCGCATGCGAACTCAAGTCCCACACGTAGACCCCACCGTCGCTACACCTGCTCCTCCTCTCAGCCTTCCCTTCCCCCTCCTACCCCTCGCCATATTCACCCGGTGATAATCCGCTCCCGCGCCTCGTCCACGTGCATGTTCATCACCCACCTTCCTGAGGGTCAGCTGAACATCGGAGGAGGATGCAGTACCCGGTATGGTTGAGAGCTAGATCCACCGGTTGTCCACCAGCCAGGAGGTTCCATCCTGCTTTCGCGTCACCTCGAGGGCAGACGACCGTCCTCACCTCTCAGCGAACAATCCATGGACCCGCTCAGCAACAGCTCGCCAACTCTCCTCAAGCACCGGACCTGCTTGATCTTCACCTCCGCCATTCTTCCCTCCCTCCCTCCCTCCCTACCGGAGCCCCGTGACCCATCAGCCTCCTCACGAGCTTGAATGTGTCCGTTCTCCAAACATTGATCGCCCAGTCCTGCATGGCATGAGCAGGAAACAAACCCTCACCCCCACTTCACCTCCCCCGCAGAGAACAACAAGTTCTTCTCTTCCTGAGCCTCCAGCACTCGCACCTGTCCACCCCCTCGTCATCTCCTCCCTCCTCCTCCCTTTCTCCTCACTGGGCCCGCGTGATCGTCCAGCTCAGCGACTAGCTCAGGAGGCTTCACCCGCGTGTCCCACACCTGCTCTCAGCCTTTCATGAGTTCCTTCTTCTCTCTCATTGCTCCCATTTCGAACTCCCCTCCTCCCCTCCTCCCCTCAACTCACCTAGCCTCCCCTTCTCCCCTCCTCCCCTCAACTCCCCTCAACTCCCCTCCCCTCCCCTCCTCACCATGATCTTGCCGTGGAAGTCACCACTCACTAGCGCCCGGAAGAAGCCTCCATCACCCTCAACCTCCTCCTTCGTCCTGACCAGACTCCCCTTCCACTCGAACTTTCTGTCTCCTCCTCCTGCCTCCTCCACTCCTTCCCGCGTCGCGTTGACCAGGCCGAGGCTGAAGATGGAAGCGTCGTGTCCGTTCCATGTGACAGTGAGTGCAGTCTTCAAGTCCATGAAGGCGTTCATGGCGATCTGGGCAAGAAGTGAGTGAGAAGAGTGGGAGGAGATAGGACGAGGACGTCAAGTACCGGAGGGACTCCAGCGATCAACTTTTCGCCCTTGAAGGAGAGGAGGTTCCAACTCCAGATGTCGTTGTCTGCTCCGCCGCTAATGATCTGACCTGTCTCCGCAACGATCATCGTCGTCACGCCGCAGCGATGCCCGGCAAACTGCACGAGCTGCTTCCAAGTCTCCGTTTCCCACACTCGGATGCGACCTTCACCGTCTCCTGTCACCTGTGAAGACATTCAGCATGTTCCCTCACTTGCGTCCATCAATGCACACATATATCATCATAATGTCTCCTATCCCAACATCATCCTCTCTCTCGTCACCAACATCGTCTCATCATCATCATCTCAGTCATCCCTCACCAAGAGCTCTTCTCCCCCTTCTTTCGCCCTGGTGACTAACATGCTTAAGATTGGCATTTCCATGTCGTCGGTCCGAAGCTTCACTGTAAGTCAGCTTGATGGCAGCACAGGCATGCAACGGGAGTAGCTCTAGGAGCAGAGGAAGAGAAAGATCGAGCTGACCTCACTGATCGTCTCGTTGTATGTGAAGTTGTCGATGTCAAACTTCTCATACGTCCCCTCGCAGACTGCCAGCATCGTCAGTTTCACGAGCCTCTTCTAGTGTACAAGCCTCGTCTAGGTATTTTCCCATTCCAGACTAGTTTGAAGAGGCTCACCTGTCATTGGAGGCGGGAGCTGTTGATACATGTAGCGCTTGTTTGCTCCTCGCAACCTCAAACATCCTGCTCCGCGCAATGGTCGACTTTGCAAGGAAACGCCAGGATAGGAAGATGAAGACAAAACAGAAGCGTGAAGAGAAGCCAGTTTGAATTCATGTGCGAGCAGGTTGGGGGCGACGGGATAGATAAGGGGGGAGATGTAGGAGGAAAGATAAGGGGGGAGATGTAGGAGGATAGATAAGGGGGGAGATGTAGGAGGATAGATAAGGGGGGAGATGTAGGAGGATAGGTAAGAGAAGAGGGGCAGGAGGAGAGTACAAGTGAGGAGGGTAGAAGAGGAGACTTGAGTCGCTTCTACTTCATCCGCCTCAGAGTAAAGGACAGCTTCGATTTTCTGACGTTTCTTAGTCCCTTTATTAGCCTCTCTCTACGACCTTCCCAGGGCAGCAGACGCTCGCGGCATGGCGGAGGAGGCTGAGGAGGTACGATGCGACAGGAAGAGGAGGGAGACGGGGTGAAGAGAGGATGAGATAGGGAGTTGGAATCTGACAAGATATGCTGAGAGATGAAGATACATGCTGAGAGATGAAGATACATGCTGAGAGATGAAGATACATGCTGAGAGATGAAGATACATGCTGAGAGATGAAGATACATGCTGAGAGATGAAGATACATGCTGAGAGATGAAGATACGTGCTGAGAGATGAAGATACATGCTGAGAGATGAAGATACATGCTGAGAGATGAAGATACATGCTGAGAGATGAAGATACATGCTGAGAGATGAAGATACATGCTGAGAGATGAAGATACATGCTGAGAGATGAAGATACATGCTGAGAGATGAAGATACGTGCTGAGAGATGAAGATACGTGCTGAGAGATGAAGATACATGCTGAGAGATGAAGATACATGCTGAGAGATGAAGATACATGCTGAGAGATGAAGATACATGCTGAGAGATGAAGATACGTGCTGAGAGATGAAGATACATGCTGAGAGATGAAGATACATGCTGAGAGATGAAGATACATGCTGAGAGATGAAGATACATGCTGAGAGATGAAGATACATGCTGAGAGATGAAGATACATGCTGAGAGATGAAGATACGTGCTGAGAGATGAAGATACATGCTGAGAGATGAAGATACATGCTGAGAGATGAAGATACATGCTGAGAGATGAAGATACATGCTGAGAGATGAAGATACGTGCTGAGAGATGAAGATACGTGCTGAGAGATGAAGATACATGCCTGTGAAAGATGGGCTGCATTATCGTCTAATTTTGCTGCAGCTTAAGTGGAGATGCCATGTCGTCATCAAGCTCAACGGCCAGGTACGACATTTTGCTTGAAGATCCGCCTTGCTGATGGTTGGGAAGCAGCGGACTGAGCGATGCAAGTGTACGCTTCCGATCGAGTTTCGCAAGAAGTTCTTTAAGAAGAAGGAGATTAGCGCCGGTCACTTCCTCGTCCTCCCGTTCGCCCTCATTGTCTCTGCAGATCTTCCAATCTCAATCCCGAAGCTGAAGATCAAGCTCCCCACTCAAGCTGCTACGGTATATTGTTGGTTCGAAACTGATGGTGTCTGAATCAACATCGTCAGAAATCAGACTTGCCGCGATACAAAGTCTGGCCCAAGGTGACACTGACAGGTTGAATCGCTGATGTTTTCTTGACCTTTTTGACTGAAGGTGCATGGAGTTCCATTCCCGGGTCGAAGCAACCCTGTCAGCATTGTTATCAAGGTGAGAATTTCCTGCTTGTAACGCTGCTGAAGTTGCTGGTTCAGCTTGCTATCCCCGGCGCATGGGAAGACAGGTATATTGGTGTTGAAGGGGCTAGCGAGGAACGTATTGATCTGTTCTCACTCAAGCTCTGAAACGATCAAGCAAACACCTCGCTCCAGGTTTGCGCAGCATGTGCATGCATTGCCCTTCGCCCTGCTGATAAGGATATTATAGCGATGAGTACAACCCGGACGCAGACGTGGCAGAGCAAGAGGGTGATGTTGTTTTGTTCAAGTTCTCCGAGATGACATCATGACAGATGAGCTTTCGGACGAGATCTCTGATGGCAACGACAGCGTCTCGAGATGTGAGAGCAAGCTTGTTCTCCCAGTCGTTCACTCGTTCCCGAAGCTTCAAAACAATCAAGCAGGCGTAGTCGCGAACACGACATGCTAGCGCTGCCCATGATGGTGAGGCTAATCCGAATCGCGTTGGCTGTGACATGCTGGTGACAGAAAGAGAAGAGCGAAAGGAAGGAAGCAGATCCGATGACCCTCGCAAGACGAGCTGGTGCTGCCCTCAGGAACTTGTTGAGAGTGTGTGATCTCTCGCACAGAACATCTGCGAAGACGAAAGGAGCAATCGAACAAGTCAGGTGCTAGAGATCAGGGCCCTCGTGATGTCGCTGCAGGGAGAAAGATGAGAAGACAGCATCGACGATAGAGAGAATCCTGAATGCGGTGCTACTGACGCTCCCAACATCTGAGTCAGACGATGACGATGATGTCGAATGCAGGAGGGACAGTCTACCAGGAAACGAGAACGCGAAAAGAAGAAGGATCAGGAGCCGTCTACAGTGGTCAGGCAATAGTCCCAAGCAGCAGTTGGCGTTGAAATGTGAGCGCAGGCGAGGAAGGAGCGGAAGTGTGGGTCCATTGGGCCGCACATAAGGTGCATCTCAAACGCGGAGGGCATGACAGTCTCGGTGTCCAAGGACTGCGTCGCGGTGAGTGAAGGGAGAGGAGCGAGAGGAGGGGAGGGTTGAGACGTTGAGCTGGATAAGCAGCAGGATGCTCCTCTTCTCTTCCCTGTGCCGCAAGAGAGGCAGAAAGGTGAGGGGAGCGGAGGTGCAGGAGGTGCAGGAGGTGCAGGAGGCTGACTGCATGTCTGCAGGCCTCTACACTGAGCCACCTGCCCTCGTTGAGGTTCCATGGTGGGCCCTTGAGCCTTGAGGATGCTTGGCAGCCGACTCGAACGACCGACATGAACACGATGATCATTGTAATAGATGAAAAAGGACCGAACTTATGAAAGAGCAATATGACGTGTAGCACCGTGTGACCCGGCGGGGGCCTCGCAGGAGGCTGTCGCGCTGCTCAGCTGCTGCTGCTGCTCAGCTGCTGCTGCCGCAGTGCTCGCGGCTGCTGCTGCTGCTGCTGCTCACTGTGCTGCTGCTGCTTCTGATTGCTGCTGCTGGTAGCGCTGACTCTGTGAGCTGCCGCTTGTGAGAGTCGGTGGAGGTCAGTCACTTGACTCATCATCAAGTTGACTCGGCGCCGGGCGGCACCGGGCCCCGGCGGGGCACTGAAACCCGATGACCATAGACTACCCCCCCTTTCCAGCTCCCTCACCCACCTTCACCTACCCCTCCGTGATTGTCTACCCTACCAATGTTTACCAATACCCACAGGAATGATACCCTACCCCACCAAATTCCTCAATGTACCCCTCCTGTTACCCAATGTCTGCCCCGAGATCATAATACCCCACCCCCTTAATCTCGTCTAAACCCACCCTAGAAGATATTACTGTTGTATCACCCCTTGATTTCCCATGTAAATAACCTTGTGAACGAGGGTCATTACCCCTACCCCTCGATGATACTGTAGGATTACCCTACCATTTCCTATCCCGCCACCAAGCCCCTCCCCGCCACCAAGCCCTTCACCCATGCAGTGTCGGGCAACTCGCCGTGCTCCTCCCCTCCCTTGCTCTGCTGCCCACCGTCCTCTCCCTCCGGCTACATACACTTCCGCACCCATCGCCTCCTCCCCTCCGCCTCCCTTGTCATGCTCGTCCCAACCTCCTCGTCCTCTTGTGTGCATCAAACCCTCGCTGATCCCGCGCCTCATTGCGTCCTTGATGTCGAGCAAGTTCCTGATTTTCCTTCGCTTCTTTCTCCTTCTCTTAGTTCAGATTCTTGGCTTGAATGTGTCGATCGACGCTGACTCAGCCTCCTCCTCCTCCTCCTCCTCCTCCTCCTCCTCCTCCTCCTCCGCCTCCTCCTCCTTTCCCTCGTTCCCGCTCCCCGCCCTTCGCTCCCTCGCCCGGCCCCTCCCTCGGGGCCCCTCTCGCTCCTATCCTCTTCCTGGTTCTCCTCTTCCTTGCTTCTCGTGTACACATTTATCACTTGATTCGGGAAGGATACTGCTGGCTGGTTGTCCTGTCCTGCTCTTATCTTGTTTAGATCTCAGACCACGTCACATCAGTAGTGTTCTTGTCGCTGATCGGATCGTTGCCAAGGTTGTCATTGCAACATGGCAGCAAAGAGGTCTCGGGATCGGCTCTCTCCGCTGCCGCCAGGTGGGCGGCGCCTACTTCTTCTCGATGCACTCTGACATAACTTGAGCAGACGAGCTCTCTCGTGAGTTTGCCCTTACCCCGAAGACATGTCGGCTACAACTTTTAGACTCTCTGAACTCTCCTCCTGTCTCGGAAGGGTTCGGCTCTTCGATAACGCTGCCTGAATTGAAAGTTGGTCGGCAGGCGAATGGTGAGAGCGGAAGAGTTTTCAGGCTCCTGTCCGGCTTCTCCTTTCTCTGGATTCGCTTCCAATCTTCCCAACCTCAACAGTGTGGATCGGAAACGACCTGCAACGACATTTCACACTCCTTCATCTGTGAGATTCGATGCGAAATCTCCTCCTCCTTTGACCATCTCTCACAGCCTCTCGGCTACTTCACGCAAAGTGCCTTAGGATTTCTTCCTGGTTCACCCACAGTGACGAACTCTTCTGTTTCCTCCTGGGCCTTCCCGTCTCAAGAAATCTCCCCTCCAATGTCAATGAAAGATCATTATGTTTCATGTTGCCTGAATTGTTTGCAGAAGCAAAGACTTGAAAACGCCAGCCTCCTCCAACAAGAAAGTGAGGAGAACGTTGATTGAAGACTCGTCGCGAGAATCATCTTCTCAGCTGCTCACCCCCCGTTCACCTCAACTGCAGCTGATGTGCTTCGGAGAGAATGAGGTACGACTTGAGTTCTCGCAACGATGATCAAGACTCACAGCTGAGAAGGTAACAAGTGAGACTGTGTCCATTGGAGCCTTCGGCGACTTCATCAACAAGACTGGTAACACCAAACCAATCATTCTAGCGGGCCCAATGAGGCACAGGAGATATCAACTTAGAAGGTTGAGCTGCTTAGCTCTCTGTGGTCGGGGAATGACGAGGAAGGCCAGGAGCCTTGAGGTGGAGCTGAACCAAGAGGAGGTCTGTCACCTAGAGGGCGATGGAAGCAGCAGACTCTCCTACGGCAGCGAGTTCGATCGTGAGCTATCGCGAGAGGATGAGGTGAGGGCTGCTGTGACTTTGAGCTAGTGGATGAGGTAATGACAGGACAAGCAAGTCGAAGACAAACCGAAAATGAAGCCAAACAACGCGATGGCCCAGGAACCGGCGAAACATTCAAGCTCACACAAGACAGAACCTTCTCCTCCTCCAGCAACACCAACACCAACACCTCCAGCTGCCAAGGCATCGGCGACTAGCGGCATATCTACACCACCAACATCCACGACACCAACCACGTCAACAGTCAGGGCTGAAGTTCAAAAGGTTTCTTCCAACAGTCAGGCTATCGCAAGTACCACAAGCATGACGTCAAGTGTGTCGAAGTCGTCACGAGCTCGAGACCCTTCGAAGATGTGCAAGTGCAAGAAGTCGAAGTGTGTCCGCCAGTATTGCGTCTGCTTCCGTGCTGCTCTGCTCTGTGAAGGATGCGACTGCGTCGATTGTTACAACGACGGACAGCACGAGCAGGTGAGGAGAGGAGGGTAGAGGAAGCGGACTTAAGCTCCTGCAGGAACGACTTGCGGCCATCGAGCACATCAAAACTTCAGACCCGCTTGCCTTCGCGGACCGCGTGAGGGCGGAAGGTGACGCAGCAAGTGTGAGCGTAGAGAGCAAACCCAAGCAGCATGTCCGAGGATGCAAATGCAAGAATTCCAAGTGCCTAAAGAAGTGAGTCCGTTGCTTGTCTTGTCGTCCTTTTTGTCTCTCGCCCCATTTCTCTCTCCCGCTTCATTCCTCTCCTTCCCAGTGTCAGGTTTCCTCTCTTCACTCTCCTTCGCTCTATCTCTCCTTTGCCTCCGTCTGCTCGTTCACCCTCATCCTTGCTTCAGGTACTGCGAGTGCTTCGAGTTCGGCGTCAGCTGCTCCTCCAAGTGCGACTGCAAGGACTGCATGAACGGCAAGACGCTGCAGCCCCTCGAGCGCAACGATCCTCTTCCTTGTCAGGCGAAAACCCAGCTGGAGGCGGCAGGGCTCGTGGGGTAAGGACCGTGCTGGGCAAGGAGAGGGAGTGACGCAAAGCTCGCAGGACGTCAAAGGACAAGCCTCTTCCTACTCCCCTTCAGACTCCCAAGCGCGCTCATCTTCCGCCTTCTCCTGCTACCCCAGCTGTGCCTTCAGCTGTAAGTCACCCTCGTCATTCTACCCACCTCTCGCTTACTCAAAATCCTGCCTCAGCTTGCTAGCTTGAACTTCCATGGCGGCCTCAGTGCGTCTCCTGTCATCGCCTCCTCCACCACCCCCTCCTCTTCCTCCTCAACCTCTGCTTCGACCACCCCTTCTACCTCCTCTGTTTCCACCACTAAGGTACCGGGTGAGAGGCTTCAGTCGCCGCCTATGACTTGACTCAGGTTCTTCCTCGCACGCCTCTCGATGGAGGAAGCAAACTCAACGGGCCGGCAGCTGTGAGCATGCAGAGAGAGCGAGAGGAGACGGGGAAGGTGAAAACGAGGAGGTGTGTCTCACTCGCTGATGGTATGCAGCAGAACTTTGCGCTTGCCTCGTGATTTTCTTCTTGTCTCTCATCTCATTATTCTTTATGTTGTCCTTCCACTTGATTCCTATTACACACAACCTCCCAACTATGTACATGGACCAGCACAGCACCAGCAGCGCATCTGGGCTCGTGCCTCCTCCCAGCGTCTCTCTTCAATCATCCTCCAGCATATCCAGAAGGCTCTCGTTCTGTGCCTGCGCAAGGCCTGGCATGCAGCAGTCAGACTAGTCTGACTTGCACGCCCTCCTTGCTCACTTCTCCTGTAGATTTTGAGCTCCTGCTCCATGCTTGACTGCGGGCGCTGCAAACTGAGGAGAGTGAGATAGGACCAGGATCAGTTTTTGCTTCACCTGCCCGCGAGGGAGCAGCGAGTGGAGAAGCGACCATGAGCGATGACTTTGTTGACAGCATCGCGAAGTTTGTGCGAAGACACCTGGAAAAGAAGTGAGGGGAGGAAGGTCGGGAGGGAAAGCTCGCCTCCTCCGTCTTCTTGACGTCCTTGAACAAGGGAGGGTCGTTGGCCATCACGATGGAGCTGAGCAGGACGATGGTCTCCCTGAGCCTCGTCAGAGTGAGGGAGCGACAGAGCTGCAGCCTGACGCGCTCACGGAGGCCTCGCGGATGAGCTCGTGCAGGGACGCGACTCGGAGCTGCTCCCACGGCTGCTGGTAGACGAGACTTCGACCTGGACGAGACCATCAGAAAGGGAGGCAGGGAGAGCAAGACGGCAAGAGGAAGAAGGGGAAGGGCACAAGGAGGTGAAGCCGAAGAAGTAAACAAGCACGATGAGGAGGAGGAGGGGAGGGAAGAAACATTAGCAGCACCTTGAGGTCCCAACATGTTGAGGTTACTGGTGGTCTGGTTCCACATCTCCTCTAGGTCAAGAGGAGATGTCAAGCTGCACCTGCCGGGAGTCAAACTTCTCCTCCTCTACCCCCTCCTCCTCCTCTTCTACCCCCTCCCTCCTCCTCCCTCCTCCTCCTCCTCCTCCTTCTCCTCGCCCTCCTCCTTCTCCTCCTCCTCCTCCTCTACCCCCTCCCTCCTCCTCCCTTCTCCTCCTCCTCCTCCTCCCTCTGCTCCCTTCTCTTGCCCCCTCGCTCACTTGCGCGAGGCAGGTTGAGTAGGTTGGTGCAGCTGAGAAGGACGGCACAGAATCCTGACCTGCATGAAGAAATTCTGCCGCAAGCTGCCATGACCCTCCATTAGATTTCAAAGCCTCACTCTCCCTCTCCCAACCTCTTTCCCCCCACACACACACACTTTCCCTCTCCTCTTCCTCCCCTTCTCCTTGTTTACTTTTGAAGCTCCTCGCATGCTCGCGTCACCCTGATGTCTCCCGTTTCTTGTCCTTCGCTCTGCCCGTCAGCGTCTCCTCAACCCTTGGACTCTCACCCGCTGCCTCGTTGGCTCCAAAAGGCTTCCGCGCCGCTCGCCGAAGAAGAGGATTCACCTGCAGCGTGACGAGCGACAAGATACAGTCAAGCAGCGATGAGGAAGGACGCAAGCATGAGAGCAGCACCAAAGAGAGGTAACGAGGTTGCCCGTCTGGTCGTCTCAGGCGGTTTGAAACGACTTGAAGGAGGATGCGGAAGAGACCGTCAACCGAAACACCCTTGAGGTTGCCCATGCCCAACTCGCGATAATCCTAAGGAGAATAAGACGAGGGCAGGAAGTGAGACAAGAGCAGAGAAGTCGCTGACTTACAATCGCCGAGAGACTCTTGCACTCCAGCATCGCCCGTCGATTCATCATCAAGAAGGTTCGCCCGCACACCTCTCGCTCTCCCCATGACACTCGCGTGCGCAGCAGAAACTCCCTGTGATCAGTAGGAGCACAAATAAGAAGAGGAAAACGCGCGGGAGATCAGGGTGGAGGTAGCAGAGAGAGTGGCAGCAATGGTAGACGAGAAAGACCTCTCGAACACTTGGCGAAGGCGGCAGGAAAGCTCGTCCATGAGGAGAATGACGAGTCGAAAGCATCTAGAAAAAGAGTGAGGATGAAAAAGTAGAGGGAGAGGAGGAGGCGAGGAGGAGGAGGAGGAGGAAGCGAGGAGGAGGAGGAGGAGGCGAGGAGGAGGAGGAGGAGGAGGGCGAGGAGGAGGAGGAGGAGGCGAGGAGGAGGAGGAGGAGGCGAGGAGGAGGAGGAGGAGGAGGGCGAGGAGGAGGAGGAGGAGGCGAGGAGGAGGAGGAGGAGGCGAGGAGGAGGAGGAGGAGGAGCACCTGCTTGTCGTGTCTTCCATGGCAGTTGACAGACAAATAGTTTAGTTATATATTTGACTAAACATAAACTTATTCATTTTCTCTGACTCACTTTACTGACTTTCTGGCTCGTCGGGGTAAACCGTGAGGCGGGCTTGTTTGGAAGTAGACAAAAAAAAGAAGTCAAGACAAGCTACACTGAAGTTTGCCTTTCCTTTTTCAGTCAATAAAGCTCTGCAAGAAGTTTTGAAGTACAACAAAACCAATGATGCACCTCAAAGCTCACTGACTAACTTCATGCTGCAGCCAAACGGGATGAGATCGACTCTCATGCCTTCGAGCCAACAATACAAGACTAGATCTCTCAGAGACGAAGTGAAGAACCATTGTTGAATCATTTCGCTTGTTCTTTCGAAGAAGCATGTCAAGAGTATTAACTTGGAACCCGGAAGAAGACGAAGCCTTAGACTCCGAACAAACGAGAAAGAGGAAGGGAGGAAGAGTGACTCATCAGTTGTGGCACTGAGTGGAGGAGGGGAAAGAAGAAGAGAAGGAGGAGGAGGATCAGGAGGCGTCGAGTTTGCCTATCTCATACTTCCTTTCCGTCCAGTCGATTGTTGCTCGCCCGCTTCTCTCGAGCACTTTGGAAGCCTGCAGGTCTTGAAGCTCGAGCTTTAGCACGACCTTTCCCGCTGGGAGCCTACCGAGCTTCAGCTGGGTCTCATGGCTGCTGCCCGCAAACTGACGCGGGAGGAGAGTGTGTTGAGAGAAGAGCTTATGCAAGGGCATCCGATCGCTCGCTTGCAGCACGCTCACATAGATTTGATACCCGACGCCCTCGCACAGCCCTTGAGCTGTGACTCGCAGCACGTGCCCTTCTTTTGACACCTCCACGCGGTCAGCTGGCACCAAGCGCAGCCCTGCCATGCTGCAGCCGTCGGCCTTGAAGGCTGGCACGAGGTAGGAGCGGATAGCGACGTTGGGCTGCGGGTCAACTTGATTGGAGAACAGCATCGCATGGAACCGCTGCCTTCCTCGAGTGTCTGGTGGGCCCCAGCCCGGATACATTTGTTGCCCCATGGCGAAGAGGCGGACGTTGAGTTGTCTCTGCTTGATCTGAGAGGAGGCGTGCACGAGGAAACCCATGGGAAGGACGAGGAAGGAGTAGCCGAGCAGCGCAGCCTCCAGAGTAAGGGAGGACTTGTCCCAGCCCCAACTGATGTAGCCGTCATCATACATTCCAGCCCCATGCCTGCCCATCCACGAGCTGCGGTTGACGACCACATAAGGCTCGTAGCCTGTGATGTAGTCGACCTCGTACGCGACGCTGGTGTTGAACCACCTGCTGTACTCGGTCGGAGCATGGTAGACTCCAGCTTCTGTCCACCGGTGGGAGGGCGACCAGAGGCCGCAAGGCATTGCAGGAATGTTGACCTGACAGGCGTCGAAGCTCGTGACGAGGTCAAGGAAGGTGACGGCATGAGTCCTCACGAGCAGCGACTTGTTGTGCAGCTCGACATGCGCGTAAGGAGGCCAGGCACCATTGCTCTTGAAGGATGGCACGACCAGCAGCTGCTGGGACGTGACAGTCGAAGTTTGATAGAGAAGTCGAATCTGATGCGCAAGGGAGTCTGACGGGATCATGTCAACGTCGCTGTACAAGACGAGGTCGCTCTTTGCTATGGCACATGAAATCTTTCGGAGCATGTTGATCGGAAAGACAGCGAAACGAGCTTCCGCGTCAGCATCAGGACAAAGAGTGAGCATTACGATCTCCAGTTGCCTGCCGCGAGAAGAGAACCACGGGCCGAGTGAGTCTCTCACGAAGCGCCTGATCTGCTGCTCGTCTGACTGAGATCGCGCGTAGAAGGCAACCGCCATGTCCTCCTTCCAGTGAGCTGCTACATTGACCAGCACGACCGCGCGATCCACCGTAGCGACAGTCACGAGAGTGACAGGCAGCTCCTTATCGGAAAGCGATGTTGAGCTTGCAGCGGGGGCAGAGAAAGGAGCATCCTTGTAGGGCAAGGAGCCGTTGAAGAGAGGACTACCAGAGGAAGACCACAGGTAAGAAACCTGACAGGAGGCAACAGACACTATTTTCCTCGTCAGCTTCGCCAAAATCGTGTCCTCACCTTCGATTTGTGAGTGATCGTCAAACAGCATTGCATGCACTACGAACTCTCCAGGCCAGAAGGAGGAGATGTCATGCTTGATGAACTGCAATGCATCGCCATGGAAGACCTCGGTCTTCTCGAACATCACCAGCCCGGTCTCCTTGAGAGTTATGAACAAAACGATCTTGTATCTGCTTCCTTTGGCCAAGCCAGCCATGTTGACTTGCACAGTGAAAGTTTCTAGCGCGTGTACTGTCTCGCCTGGGAAAAATGAAAGGTGTATAGAGCACAAGAGGTCCTCCGGGTGAGGGGCCACCGAGTTGGCGGCTGGGGTAGGAGGAAGAGCCGGAGTATGAAGTTCGGAAGAGGGTGGTGACATGTGGTCGGCAAGGGAGCACTCGTTCATGACGCACCTGTTAAAGTTGAAAAACTTTCGAAGTTGTAGAGCTGGTTTGAGGCTTGCAGGCAAGTCGTCCTTGAGCTCTGTAAGAGCAACGAACAGAGAATATTCCTTCCCCGAGGGAATAGCAAGTGAAACATTGAAGGGACCTTGTTTGCAGTCCAGGTCAAGCAGCAGAACTTTGTTGGACACTTCAAGAGTCTCTGTCTCTGTCACAGCAACCAAGACCAGGCATGTTCCTCGCAGAACACCGCAAAGATACAAGGGGATCTCGACCTCTTGCCCGTTTAGTTTGACGGTATTGAGCAAAAGAGAGGCTGGTGAGCCAGTGCTGAGATTATGCGGCGGCGATACACGAGCATCTGTCTTGACTTGAAAGTTATGATGAGAGGAGAAGAGTAGCTCTGGTTTCGATTCGCTCTTGTCAGAGGAGAACAGCATGACGCTCACCAGGTGCGCACCAGGCAGCGCATGCTCGTAGGTGAAGGACAAGCATCTGGCGTGCGATGAGAACGTCTCTGGAGACGTCAGGTACTCTTTCATGACTAGGACGTCAAGAGCTCGTCGTAGCTGCAGCTGCAGCATGTACACATCATCTCGTCCTCGACCCTCAAAGTTGATTGCGATCAGCACCCGGTCACCGACTGAGGCCTCCTTATTGGTGTTCCAGCCAACCTCTGCAGTGTCTGAGGAGAGCTTGAAAGATGCTGAGATGTCAGACGATGACGGGCAGGGACATGCAGCAGCTGAGACAGCCAAGTGATGGGAGTCAGAACCTTGATGCCCAGGGTCATAGAGACAATTTGCAGCGGAAGTTGACGGGGGCTGAAGAAAAGATCGGGTGGGATCTTCTAAAAGAGATGAAGAGGAGGAGGAGGAAAGTCTTGCTGGCATCGTAGTTGTCGTCATCATCATCACCACCACCATCGTCATCTTCATCTTCATCTTCATCTTCATCTCCATCGCTGTTCGAGAGCAGCTGGGGGAAAAAAGACCCAAGTCCGCCCCAGATACAATGATTGATCGCCGTTACAGTATACGTTACGAGTCCGTCCTTGTGGTCACTTTCTGAGGCGGACTCGTCCGATGGTAGTGAGAGGCGAAGATAACGAGAACCGCGGCTGGGCTTAACAGTGTCAAGACTAGAGGTACGACTTTGATTCATCCACTTGATTTACTCGTCAGATTCAAACGAATTCTGCGTCCCAAATCATCGAAGGGATACGCTAGAGTCCAATTTATCGGCTCCTGCAAGGGATGCAAGGAGGTGATGTTCATCGTAATGCTGAGAGCAAGTCAAGCCGGAGGCGGGATTAAAAATCTCACTTGGTCATGTACTCGTGTAGGAATGCTCGTTCGGCTTCGCTCTCTTCATCGAACGTTTGATCCACATGAGCGATGGTGAAGTTGGTGTCCTGGGGAAGTGAATCAGCTGGGAATGACAAAGACCCCTCGCTTCTCCATCCAGCTTCTCACCCGGTAGACGACAGGCAAAGAGAAGTTCTCCAGGTCAATCACAACATTCTCCTCGACGAGCGTCTTCGGTCGGTCATCGTCACTCCACAGCTTGTTGCCCTGCCCGAGCTTGTCATCCTCGCATGCTGATCACCCTCTTGCTCACCAGCAGCGAGACATTTCTGAGCGCTAGCGATGCTCGATCTTTGCCATGGTGACCCACACAAAAAGCGCTCTGAACGACACGCGTGAGCTCACAACTCACAACCTTCTCGCACCTTGTGGTTCTGCGTCAATGTGCAGTTGGACATGCTGACGTGAGCCTCGTCATGGAGGTAGATGGCGAAGCGGTTGTGAGACACGTCACAGCTGCTGGGGGTGAGAAAGCAACAGGACGAGCAACAAGACCTTTCGAAAACAACGGAGGCGTTGAATGAGACGTCAGCTCCCACCTGACGGCACACAGATCGGCTCACGTCTCTCTATGTCTACAAAACCTGAAAGTCTTGGACCTCGCACCCGACAAACTTCACAACGCTCTGACCCCAAGCGAACATTCCATACCTGACACCTTCAGCCTCGACCAGCGCTCAAAGCGACTCACCCATGAGTGCCGATGTTTGTAAGCTCGACAGGTAACAAGATGCAATCAAGCAGACTGACTCTTGACTGAGGTCCGTGAGCACCTCTCCTCCCTCCCCCTCTTCCTCACATTTCCGCTAGCCGCCAGCACTCCCGTCAAGGGCCCAGGAAATACTCTAACGCACAAATCACTCTCACATTCTCAAAGTAGCAACAGGGTCAAACTTCAGCTGACAATTCTCGATCCTCCAGTCACCGTCCCCAATGTTGAGCGTCAGTCCTCCCCCCACTCCCGGCATGTGCTGCCAACGACATCACCACCAAAACCTCCTCCTCCACCTCCTCCTCCTCCTCATCATCATCATCATCATCATCATCATCATCATCATCATCCCCCTCCTCCTCCTCTTCCTCCTCCTCCTCCCCCTCTTCTTCCTCCTCTCACATACATACGTCAACTCCTCCTCCTCTCACATACAACTATCGACACCCCTCTTCCTCTCCGATACATGAGTAGAAAGCAGCATGACGTCTTTGAAGATGCCCGAAGAGCCCAGGGCCATCAACCATTCTCCGTCACCTGCATCAGCCTCAACGCCTCAACCAGCAGAGCTGACCACATACAACACACTCCATCTTCGCCACGGAAGTCCAGGTGGGATCGAATGATCAACGCCTACGATGCGTCAGGGTCGGAGGTGAAGACGAGCATGAGTTCCTGAGGGTCTTTGAAGCACTGCTTCCTGTCCGACCATCCCCCCCACTCGTACTCTCCGCATTTCACGCGGATCTTCTGCCCACTCGCTGGGGTCCACTCGTAAGTCTCGGGGAGGACGGCTTCGCCGTACTGCCAACAAGCTCAGCTCCAACCCCATCAATAGCGAACGCACGTTGTTGATGTCCGGGTCGAGAATCTTGCCTGCTTCTCGCTCCATCTCCGAGGGCATGGTGACGTATCTCTTGAGCTGCCCACATGCCAACTACGCCGATACCATGAGATGAGGAGATACCTGCAGACAAGCAGACCTTCACGGCTTCTGCGACTCCTTTGCAGTCTGTCGGCACCACAATCGTCTCCGACTTCCCATCCTCTCCTCCTCTCAGCCTGATGCCTCCTCCATGCTCAGACTGACTGATAGCCGCTCTTCGATGACTGACTCGATGAGATTGCTCAAAGCTGCAAGATGCTGCAGCAGTCAAGTAAACAAGAAATGAGACGCTGCATAGAATCTCCGTGACAAAATTCGAATTCATTTGTTATAGTTGAGCTCGATTAAGCAAGATCCGACATCAAATCATTGTCTTCATTGTCTTGAACCTGGAACATCTGACATCAAGTTAGCATTGACGGCTTCTCAACCCATGCTCCATTCCTTCATTTCACTTCCCTCCCACCATTGCCCTCCTGGGTACATAACATCTGCTGAGGCGGGTTGTTTCAAACTTGACCCTCGGAGCGGCCTCAGGGCTGCCGGGACTCGGGCCGCGGGCCGGGCCGCGGCGCGGCGGCCGCGGGCCCGGGGCGTGAAAGTTCCGGCGAAGCCAGTTCATGTCACTGGCAGTCGGTGCGATCATCGCAGGTGCGGTCCGGTATGCGTCTCATTCCTTCGGCGGCGGCCGCAGCGACATCGCTCAGCGGCACATGCCGTGATGGCGCGGGGCCGGCGGCGGGATTGTCCCGCGCGCAGCCTTAGGTGAAGGTATCGACGGTTAAGTTTGGGGGACAGCAGTCGGCAGGATTGGGTTTGGTTCTCGCTGTCTTTTCTCTTCTCGACGTTTGGCCTGTGCGACAGTGTCAGGGTCAAGCCTCCTCGCGGTCGGAGTCTCTCCTGATTGTCCTACGGCACTGATTTTTGACCGGCCGCGGGCGTAAAACTGTTTAAAGGAATTAAAACAAAAGTTTGATTTGTTTCTCTGTAATTTGAAATACTCATAAGAGCCTCATAAAAGTTAGTTCGACAGGTGAGCTCAAAACATCGTGGTGGGAACGAACAAAGAATTGGAGGCAACAAACAGACTCATCTCGTGATCTCGTTGTCAACACAACAAAAAGAAAGATGTGTGAGATGGAGATTGCAGGAATCAATACCTTCCTGAACACAATGCTCGAAATAACCATGGAACTTATCTGGATAGAACAGGATTCAAATAAAATTGATGAGATTGAGATAATACAGCTGAAAATACTCAAATTGAACAAAAAGATGAAAAAGCTGCAGACCCTTCGTCAACAGCGCAACGAGCTGGAAGCAAGCTCTAAGGAGCTGGAAGGAGAGCTGCAGACCCTTCGTCAAGCCCAGGCACACACGCAGCAGGAGCGCAACGAGCTGGAAGCAAGCTCTAAGGAGCTGGAAGAAGAGCTGCAGACCCTTCGTCAGTCCAGCACACACGCAGCAGGAGCGCAACGAGCTGGAAGCAAGCTCTAAGGAGCTGGAAGGAGAGCTGCAGACCCTTCGTCAAGCCCAGGCACACATGCAGCAGGAGCGCAACGAGCTGGAAGCAAGCTCTAAGGAGCTGGAAGGAGAGCTGCAGACCCTTCGTCAAGCCCAGGCACACACGCAGCAGGAGCGCAACGAGCTGGAAGCAAGCTCTAAGGAGCTGGAAGGAGAGCTGCAGACCCTTCGTCAAGCCCAGGCACACACGCAGCAGGAGCGCAACGAGCTGGAAGCAAGCTCTAAGGAGCTGGAAGGAGAGCTGCAGACCCTTCGTCAAGCCCAGGCACACACGCAGCAGGAGCGCAACGAGCTGGAAGCAAGCTCTAAGGAGCTGGAAGGAGAGCTGCAGACCCTTCGTCAAGCCCAGGCACACACGCAGCAGGAGCGCAACGAGCTGGAAGCAAGCTCTAAGGAGCTGGAAGGAGAGCTGCAGACCCTTCGTCAAGCCCAGGCACACACGCAGCAGGAGCGCAACGAGCTGGAAGCAAGCTCTAAGGAGCTGGAAGGAGAGCTGCAGACCCTTCGTCAAGCCCAGGCACACACGCAGCAGGAGCGCAACGAGCTGGAAGCAAGCTCTAAGGAGCTGGAAGGAGAGCTGCAGACCCTTCGTCAAGCCCAGGCACACATGCAGCAGGAGCGCAACGAGCTGGAAGCAAGCTCTAAGGAGCTGGAAGAAGAGCTGCAGACCCTTCGTCAAGCCCAGGCACACACGCAGCAGGAGCGCAACGAGCTGGAAGCAAGCTCTAAGGAGCTGGAAGGAGAGCTGCAGACCCTTCGTCAAGCCCAGGCACACACGCAGCAGGAGCGCAACGAGCTGGAAGCAAGCTCTAAGGAGCTGGAAGGAGAGCTGCAGACCCTTCGTCAAGCCCAGGCACACACGCAGCAGGAGCGCAACGAGCTGGAAGCAAGCTCTAAGGAGCTGGAAGGAGAGCTGCAGACCCTTCGTCAAGCCCAGGCACACACGCAGCAGGAGCGCAACGAGCTGGAAGCAAGCTCTAAGGAGCTGGAAGGAGAGCTGCAGACCCTTCGTCAAGCCCAGGCACACACGCAGCAGGAGCGCAACGAGCTGGAAGCAAGCTCTAAGGAGCTGGAAGGAGAGCTGCAGACCCTTCGTCAAGCCCAGGCACACACGCAGCAGGAGCGCAACGAGCTGGAAGCAAGCTCTAAGGAGCTGGAAGGAGAGCTGCAGACCCTTCGTCAAGCCCAGGCACACACGCAGCAGGAGCGCAACGAGCTGGAAGCAAGCTCTAAGGAGCTGGAAGGAGAGCTGCAGACCCTTCGTCAAGCCCAGGCACACACGCAGCAGGAGCGCAACGAGCTGGAAGCAAGCTCTAAGGAGCTGGAAGGAGAGCTGCAGACCCTTCGTCAAGCCCAGGCACACACGCAGCAGGAGCGCAACGAGCTGGAAGCAAGCTCTAAGGAGCTGGAAGGAGAGCTGCAGACCCTTCGTCAAGCCCAGGCACACACGCAGCAGGAGCGCAACGAGCTGGAAGCAAGCTCTAAGGAGCTGGAAGGAGAGCTGCAGACCCTTCGTCAAGCCCAGGCACACACGCAGCAGAGCGCAACGAGCTGGAAGCAAGCTCTAAGGAGCTGGAAGGAGAGCTGCAGACCCTTCGTCAAGCCCAGGCACACACGCAGCAGAGCGCAACGAGCTGGAAGCAAGCTCTAAGGAGCTGGAAGGAGAGCTGCAGACCCTTCGTCAAGCCCAGGCACACACGCAGCAGAGCGCAACGAGCTGGAAGCAAGCTCTAAGGAGCTGGAAGGAGAGCTGCAGACCCTTTCGTCAAGCCCAAGGCACACACGCAGCAGGAGCGCAACGAAGCTGGAAGCAAGCTCTAAGGAGCTGGAAGGAGAGCTGCAGACCCTTCGTCAAGCCCAGGCACACACGCAGCAGGAGCGCAACGAGCTGGAAGCAAGCTCTAAGGAGCTGGAAGGAGAGCTGCAGACCCTTCGTCAAGCCCAGGCACACACGCAGCAGGAGCGCAACGAGCTGGAAGCAAGCTCTAAGGAGCTGGAAGGAGAGCTGCAGACCCTTCGTCAAGCCCAGGCACACACGCAGCAGGAGCGCAACGAGCTGGAAGCAAGCTCTAAGGAGCTGGAAGGAGAGCTGCAGACCCTTCGTCAAGCCCAGGCACACACGCAGCAGGAGCGCAACGAGCTGGAAGCAAGCTCTAAGGAGCTGGAAGGAGAGCTGCAGACCCTTCGTCAAGCCCAGGCACACACGCAGCAGGAGCGCAACGAGCTGGAAGCAAGCTCTAAGGAGCTGGAAGGAGAGCTGCAGACCCTTCGTCAAGCCCAGGCACACACGCAGCAGGAGCGCAACGAGCTGGAAGCAAGCTCTAAGGAGCTGGAAGGAGAGCTGCAGACCCTTCGTCAAGCCCAGGCACACACGCAGCAGGAGCGCAACGAGCTGGAAGCAAGCTCTAAGGAGCTGGAAGGAGAGCTGCAGACCCTTCGTCAAGCCCAGGCACACACGCAGCAGGAGCGCAACGAGCTGGAAGCAAGCTCTAAGGAGCTGGAAGGAGAGCTGCAGACCCTTCGTCAAGCCCAGGCACACACGCAGCAGGAGCGCAACGAGCTGGAAGCAAGCTCTAAGGAGCTGGAAGGAGAGCTGCAGACCCTTCGTCAAGCCCAGGCACACACGCAGCAGGAGCGCAACGAGCTGGAAGCAAGCTCTAAGGAGCTGGAAGGAGAGCTGCAGACCCTTCGTCAAGCCCAGGCACACACGCAGCAGGAGCGCAACGAGCTGGAAGCAAGCTCTAAGGAGCTGGAAGGAGAGCTGCAGACCCTTCGTCAAGCCCAGGCACTCTCAAAGCCTCGGTCGTCGGCACGGTCCGAGGTTGCAGATGCTGATCGATCTGATTTCATCATCGATAATGGAAGGGGAAGAATTGAAGCAGGGTTTGCTTCTGACGAGGTTCTTATTCTCATATTCGTTTATGTCATGGTGAGTCAGATGTGTATGGGCAAGGCTGGAGCCGTTACGACCAAAGCTTTGGTCAGGTCTAGGAATGGGACTGGCAATGTGACTGACGTATCAGATGTGGATGAGACTGATGGTGGGGCTGAGGCTGTAGTGGATGCTGGATATGAAGCTTCTGGCGCTGAGGTGGAAGATACAGATGACGCTTGGGCTCAGGCTGATACAGTGGCTGGGGCTGGGGCTGGGACTGGACTTGCAGATAAGGCGGAAGCCAAGGTATTGCATGAGGCTGGAGCTGGAGCTGGCGCTGAAGCTGGCGCTGGAGCTCGACCACAGGATAAAATTCGAGATGGGGCTGGAGATGTGGCTGGCACTAGGGAGGGCGGACAGAAGCTCCGGGATCTTGGATTGAATCAAAGAAAAATTGTGGGAGCTCAGCTTCGCTGCCTTTCATTGATCAATGCAAATAATAAAGGAGAGGCTGGGTCTCAAGCTCTTTCTGACCCAGGGAAAGGAAAGACGGATAAGGCTAAGACTGGAGCACAGAGTGTGGGTAGAACTGGAACTGAAGAAGAGGCTGGAGCTGAGGTAGCAGATACGGCGGAAGCCGGGTCTTTGCACAAGGTTGCATTTCTTACTGACATAGGAGCCCGGATACGCCGTCAGAAAAAGGGAGCCAAGCAGGAAGAGCAACAGGGGTTTCAATCACCAGCCTTGAAGCCAGACAGGAGGGTAGCGCAGGCAGCACTTCAAGCCGTAGATGAATGTGACGACTCGAGGACGTCATACAGTGATGCTGTGCCTTGTGATCCTGCTGAGGCTCAGGCTGGAGACGACGCCGAGGCTTTGACTTGGGGCGGGGCTGGAGCAAAGACTGAGGCTGAGACTGCGCATAACGATTGGGGAGAAGCGACGTCTTGGCACCCAGCAGTCAGCCTCAGACCGTCAGACGAGGAGGTCAAGCCTGATGCAGAGGCAGGGGCTCGGGCAGGAAAGGGCAATGGGCCTGAGCATAAGATCGTGCCTGTGCTGAGATCAACGGAAGCTCAAGGAGGCCGTGAACGAATCTACGCAGCGGATCCTCAGGGACACGGGCCCCAGGCTGATAAGCGGAGTGCGTCTGTTGAGCAAGATCAACTCTCTATGATGCAGGAAGAGGAGGTCACAATGGCCGAGCATACACTCATTCACGACGAAGCCTGTATCAGGATGCAGAATAAGAGCATGCACGAGTCGTCTGGCAATGCTGAGAGAATCGTTGATGCGAATGCTGTTGAGGCAGCTGAAGGAGGTTGGTATCATGAAGGTGTTGTACTGAGGATATGACTTATGTCTTGTCATCAGATCCCGTGGATTGTGTGTCTGTGGACCCATTTCAAGTCATGTATGCTTTGAGATCACTTATTTTTCATTGTTGTTGGACGTGTTACATGTGGTTCAGACCTGTCATCATCGATAATGGAAGTGGAAGAATTAAAGCAGGGTTTGCTTCTGACGAGGTTCTTATTCTCATATTCGTTTATGTCATGGTGAGTCAGATGTGTATTTTCACAGCGACCGCGATTCATTTGTCCAAATGTCGTCGGCGAAGTCAAGCACAAGAAATTTTTTTCTTTTTCAGAATCGCAGCAATGTTACGTGGGCAATGATGCCCTGGCTCACAGAGCGATTCTGAAATTGAGTTATCCCATTAAGCATGGTAAGCAGCCTAAACTATGTTTAACGAGAATTTTTCATATCAAACTCGGGAATAGGAGTAATTTCGGACTGGAATGGCATGGAGAAAGTTTGGAGTTCTGTAATTACCGGTACTTAACAACGAGATGTACGTTTTAGGTATCGAATTTCTTGATTTGTACTAATGACAGGGCTTGGAGTATCCCTCAAACATCACCCTGTACTGTTGACAGAAGCTCCGCTAAACCCGAAAGCCAAAAGAGAGGAAGTTTGTGAGAGATTCTTTGAAGGGTTCGATTGCCCAGTAAGTTCTCGTTGCTTTTTTCGACCTATAAGCATTTGAGAAACCTAGGCCTTCTATATCGGAATACAGGCTGTAATGTCTTTATATTCTACTGGAAAGATTACTGGTGTTGTCGTAGAGTCAGGTTTGCTTTCACGCAGGATTTGAAGTTCAGATGTTTACACCTTGATTTCAGGCCAAGGGGTTTCATGTTCAGTTCCGATCTACCAAGGCTATGCCATCTGGCATGCAATCAAACGCTTGAATTTGGCTGGTCATGAGCTCACAGAATACCTGTCAAAACTTCTGAGAGAAAGGTTTGAAGCCCACGACCTTTCTAGATTTGTTGACTCCCACGTAAAGAGGCTATTGCTTCAAATCATCTGCCGAGTATGAGATAGTTCGGGACATGAAAGAAAAACATTGTAACACAAGCATGGCAGTCTTGGTAACCTTGAAGCAGTTTCAACAGGCTTTGTTGCACTCGACTATGAGGAAGCTCTGAACAAAGCCGCAATGTCTGATGAGCTGCACGTATCTTATGAGATGCCAGATGGTCAGGTAAGAATGGAAAACCATGAGTGTATTCTCTGATCTCTGAAATGATCCCAATCCAAGATTGTCCTAATAGGGAGCGAGAGATTTCGATGTCTCGAAGCACTTTTCCGTCCCTCGCTCCTTGGTTTGGAGGATGTCGGAATCCACTGGATGGTGTACAACAGGTTGCTGTCTCGGACCCTCCTGTGCTGCCTGACCTTTTCTGCCTGCAGCATCATGAAAAGCGATCTAGACATCCGTAAAGTGAAGAAAATCTTGTCATGAAAGCTTCGCTTTGTAAATTTGTCTTTCCAGGACCTGTACGCAAATATCGTATTATCTGGAGGAACTACAATGCATGAGGGCTTTCAAGAAAGGTTGCAGGCAGAGGTTGTTGCCTTGGCTCCACGCACGGTGAAGGTCAGAGTCATTGCAAAACCTGAGGTGTGGACCTTTGGTTCTGTACTCTAGGTGATCTAAGTCATACAGCGCGATTGCCTCGCATTTTTTGGTGCTGCAGTTATGGCCACGATTTGCGGGTAAGCTCTTCTTTCATCTCTTGTATATGACGCGTCGTATGCAAGGCAAACAACTTGGATCTCAGCAAAGGAATACCACACGTATGGCAAAGCAATTGTGGGACGCAAATGCTTCTGATGGAACGATCAATATGATTCGCCGGTCCATGAGCATATCGATCTTGATTTTTCGACAGCAAACAATCATACCCTTACAAAGAATACAAACAATTATACCCTTAGTAACATCACTGATAATGAGTTGATCTTACCGTCATAGAAGAAATGCAGTGAAAAGCGAAGGTCTCAATGGTTACTTGCTAGATGTGGACCCTGCTGAGATGGAGGAGAGGCTACACCTGAGTTGGAGGTGTAGCCTCACTCAAAGTCAAGCAGACTCCCTTGAGTCAAGCAGACTCCCTCATCAGAGCTAGTCTCAGCAACATCGGGCTTTCAGTGTTTCTTTCCGGTTGGTTCAGCTTCAGCCCGCAACACTTTGGAAGAATTTCAGTCCTCTACCACACTGACACACTACTACAAGCCTTGGAATAAGGGCTCTGGAGCTATCAGGGCAAGTCAAAGACAGTCGAGTTGTCGTTAGTCAAGGACTCACACTGAGTGACCTGTGACTGACCATTTGCATCTGTAGGATACTTCGCATCTGTCTCTGGGGACTGCATACTCTCTCGCGCGGCTTGACCATACCGAGCATCTTGTTGACTTCTCCTCCTTCAACTTGAGAATCTTGCTCTTGCATTCCTCCCATGACAGGATCACTTTGTTTCTCATCTGCTTCTCGTACCCCAACCAAGCAAGGCAAGGCTGAGCAGTACGAGGGCTTGATGGTCGCAAACACCGGGCTGGATATGCCATGACTACTAAGGTAAAAAGTGCCTCAAGCAGAAGAAAGCAGCAACAAGCAAAACCGTCAGGCAGAGAGCACACAGCAACAAAAGTGGTGTACGGAACACACCAACAAACGCGGCTCAAACACACGAAACACAAGACCGAAAGTTAGCAACACTGCTGGCAACTAGACCCTTCGGTCTTTGCTTGAGGCACTTTTTACCTTCTGCCAGTAAATCCGTCTTGTTGGTCTCATGTTTCGTGTGTTTGAGCCGCGTTTGCTGGAGCGATTCTCTACCGTCGCGTGAGGGCTCCTGCACCGGCTGCAGATGGCGCGGGGATCCCACCTGACCCGGCTGCTGTGCCTGATGACGCAGGACGCTTTCGTCGACTCGTCTCATGAGCACTTCATTCCTCCGCCTGCGCAGCGCAATGTGACTCCTCTTGTCTTGCGGATGTTTCCTCGCCATGTCCCATGCTCGCGCTGCCCTCACTGATCAGCAGCGTGATATTCTTACCTTGCACAGCCGAAGGACGTACTCGCTCAAGTCGCAGGATAGAGACCTGAGCCACTGAGCGAGTATGTCCTGCGGCTGTGCAAGGTGAGGATATCACGCTGCTGATCGGTCAGCGCAGCGCGAGCATGCACATGGCGAGGGAAGACGCGCATGACAAGAGGAGTCACATTTCGCTGCGCAGGCGGAGGAATGAAGTGCTCATGAGACGAGTCGACGAGAGCGCGCAAACCAGGGATGTGTACCACATATGCCGGGGGGCGTCCTGCGTCATCAGGCATAGCAGCCGGGGCAGGTGGGATCGCCGCGCCATCTGCAGCCGGTGCAGGAGCCCTCACACGACGGTAGAGGATCGCTCCAGCATTATGAACGAAGTCGTGCGCCTCAACGAAGAAGGTCGCCAGAGGATGCTTCTGGGCACGGAGAGATCTCGAGCAGTGAACGTCCAGGCTATGAGGAGAGGGCAGCGTACGTGACATCGGCTGGTCAGAGTACCAAGCGAGGAAGCGAGCGATAGCCGTATAGTAAACAGCGGGGTGTAGACCCTCAGAGGGCGTGAACTCGTCCCCTCCAACGTCACGTCCGCCATCAAGCCCTCGTACTGCTCGGACCCTCGATCGCGGATTCCAGGGATGTGGATATCGCCCTTCATCTTGCGGCCATGAGGATGGGAGGGTACCTGCCGTCGAGAACGAGGATCCCCGACTGTATCGATGACGCTCTGAAGACCAGCTTCGTTGAGCAGCTTGTCTGTGCGGCTTCGCGCTTGGGCTGGCGGTGCCGGGTCTGCTGACGGTTGCCAGCAGTGCTGGTTCTTTTCGGGCTTGTGTTTTGTGTGTGTTTGTGCAGCTTCTCGCTGTGCGCTGTGTGCCAGGAGGTTTAGCTTGTTCCTGCATTGTTTTGCTTGAGGCACTTTTTACCTTCTGCCAGTAAATCCTTAACCCTCTGGGAACAAGCTAAACCTGCTTGCACACAGCGACCAGCGAGAAGCTGCACAAACACACACAAGCCCGAAAAGAACCAGCACTGCTGGCAACCGTCAGCAGACCCGGCTTCGCCAGCCCAAGCTCGAAGCCGCGCAGATGATCCTTCCTCGTCCAGCTATCAGACCCTTGTTCTGCTCTTTGAGCACCTTCCCGCCTTACTGCTTCGAGGCACTTTTTACCTTCTGCCAGTAAATCCGTTCCCTCAGCTTCCCGTACCCAACTCTGCCAGTGGCTCAAGTCGCAGGATAGGGTCTTGCAGTCTACCATCTTTCCTCATTTTCCTGAGCGAGACCTGAGCCACTCTCCGATGCGAGTCTCGAGCTACTACCCCCTCAAGGCCTTCCCGCACCGCTATGCTCAGATGCTCGGCTGCTATCTCCATGGCACTGCGGCATGCCTATCTGCCATTGTCCGACGGAATGTGATGGATGTCAGCGCGAGCTCGATCCCTCCGTTGCTGCACATCATCTCCAGACCTGCAAACGCCGATCCTCCAAGCTTCCCACGGCGCATGACAACCCTTACTCGTACGATTCGGTCGATGCTGAACGAAGCTGGTCTTCAGAGCGTCATCGATACAGTCGGGGATCCTCGTTCTCGACGGCAGGTACCCTCCCATCCTCATGGCCGCAAGATGAAGGGCGATATCCACATCCCTGGAATCCGCGATCGAGGGTCCGAGCAGTACGAGGGCTTGATGGCGGACGTGACAACTTTGGTCCACCCTTACGTTGGTAGCTCTGCCGACCTGACCAAGTGGGGAATAGGATTTACTGGCAGAAGGTAAAAAGTGCCTCAAGCATAACAAAGCAGGAACAAGCTAAACCTCCGGGCACACAGCGAACAGCGAGAAGCTGCACAATCACACACAAAACACAAGCCCGAAAAGAACCAGCACTGCTGGCAACCAGACGCGGCACCGCCAGCCCAAGCGCGAAGCCGCGCAGACAAGCAGCCTAAGGGTCAGGCAATCAAGCAACAAGCAGCAGGAGCATGCAGGAGGATAAAATCCCTTAGACGCGATACCCGGAGGCAGCCGACTGACCACTGTCAGTCGAGACGTCCGCTGCCGCCACAAAGCGGGCGGTCGTGGACGGAGAAAGGGCAGCAGGGGAGTTCAACCTCGACGCCCTCCATGTTGCAGCGTCTGAGAAGATTCGCAAACATCGCGCTGCATATGCCATGACTACTCCTCCTTCTGCCAGTAAATCCGACATGGTTCCCTCCTCGAGCGTTCATCCCTCTTGGACGGTACCCTGCATCCTGACACCCTCCGCTTCATCTGGTATCTGGCGGACATCATTGCTCAGCGCTCGATGCCTCTTGAGGATGCGGCGTTTGGTCGGCACTTCGTGCCTGATGACAGCCCTGCTGCTGAGGTCCTGGCTCGCAAACGCGCCGCCACCTATCAGCGCCTCACTATGCAGCTGACGCTGGAGGCGCTCTTGTCTGGTGCCAGGCGCATGACGCCCTTGCGGCATGACGCCCTCCGTTGCTTGAGGAAACAATGGATTTACTGGCAGAAGGTAAAAAGTGCCTCACGCAAAACAAAGCCTCAAGCAAAACAAAGCAGGAACAAGCTAAACCTCCAGGCACACAGCGCACAGCGAGAAGCTGCACAATCACACACAAAACACAAGCCCGAAAAGAACCAGCACTGCTGGCACCCGAGGCACTTTTTACCTTCTGCCAGTAAATCCGTCTATAGCTCCTCCTCGGACTTTATCGAGTCGCCCGAGAAGGAGTCTTCGCCGGAGGTCTCCGACTCCGATGGGGGAAACATCCAGAGTGGCGCCGACGATCGGCGCGGAGCTGGCGAGGCGTCTCCGTCCCTCACTGTGACGTCGGGTGCCCGGCCTCCGGAGAGCTCGACACCACTGGGGTGCTTGCTGCTGGTCCGAGCTCGCCTGCTTCCTCCCCGGCATCGGTCGCCTTCCCCCATCGGAGTCGCAGACCTCCGGTGAAGACTCCCCCTCGGGCGACTCGACAAAGTCCGAGGAGGAGCTGTCCTCTGGCTCGAGAAGTGCTTGCGCCCGCAAGGGCGTCATGCGCCTGGCACCAGACAAGAGCGCCTCCAGCGTCAGCTGCATAGTGAGGCGCTGATAGGTGGCGGCGCGTTTGCGAGCCAGGACCTCAGCAGCAGGGCCGTCATCAGGCACGAAGTGCCGACCAAACGCCGCATCCTCAAGAGGCATCGAGCGCTGAGCAATGATGTCCGCGAGATACCAGATGAAGCGGAGGGTGTCAGGATGCAGGGTACCGTCCGTCGAGATGGCAAGAGGGATGAACGCTCGAGGAGGAGTAGTCATAGCATATGCAGCGCGATGTTTGCGAATCTTCTCAGACGCTGCAACATGGAGGGCGTCGAGGTTGACTTCTCCCCACTTGGTCAGGTCGGCAGAGCTACCAATGTAAGGGTGGACCAACGTCACGTCCGCCATCAAGCCCTCGTACCGCTCAGACCCTCGATCGCGGATTCCAGGGATGTGGATATCGCCCTTCATCTTGCGGCCATGAGGATGGGAGGGTACCTGCCGTCGAGAACGAGGATCCCCCACTGTATCGATGACGCTCTGAAGACCAGCTTCGTTCAGCATCGACCGAATCGTACGAGTAAGGTTGTCATGCGCCGTGGGAAGCTTGGAGGATCGGCGTTTGCAGGTCTGGAGATGATGTGCAGCAACGGAGGGATCGAGCTCGCGCTGACATCCATCACATTCCGTCGGACACTGGCAGATCGGCATGCCATGGAGATAGCAGTCGAGCATCTGAGCATAGGCCTTGAGGGGGTAGTAGCTCGAGACTCGCATCGGAGAGTGGCTCAGGTCACGCTCAGGAAAATGAGCGAAGATGGTAGACTGCAAGACCCTATCCTGCGACTTGAGCGAGGTTATAGGATTTACTGGCAGAAGGTAAAAAGTGCCTCAAGCAAAGCGAGTGTGTCCTGCGGCTGTGCAAGGTGAGGATATCACGCTGCTGATCGGTCAGCGCAGCGCGAGCATGCACATGGCGAGGGAAGACGCGCATGACAAGAGGAGTCACATTTTGCTGCGCAGGGGGAGGAATGAAGTGCTCATGAGACGAGGTAGATATAGGATTTACTGGCAGAAGGTAAAAAGTGCCTCAAGCAAAACAAAGCAGGAACAAGCTGAACCGGCAGGCACACAGTCCACAGCGAGACGAGTCGACGAGAGCGCGCAAACCAGGGATGTGTACCACAGATGCCGGGGGGCGTCCTGCGTCATCAGGCACAGCAGCCGGGGCAGGTGCCAGTAAATCCTAAGTCCTCCGGATCGCCGCGCCATCTGCAGCCGGTGCAGGAGCCCTCACACGACGGTAGAGGATCGCAATCGCTCCAGCATTATGAACGAAGTATAGGATTTACTGGCAGAAGGTAAAAAGTGCCTCAAGCATAACAAAGCAGGAACAAGCTGAACCGGCAGGCACACAGTCCACAGCGAGAAGCTGCACAATCACACACAAAACACAAGCCCGAAAAGAACCAGCACTGCTGGCACCCAGACGCGGCAGCGCCAGCCCAAGCGCGAAGCCGCGCAGACAAGCAGCCTAAGGGCAAAGCAATCAAGCAACAAGCAGCAGGAGCATGCAGGAGGAATAAAATCCCTAACGTCCAGGCTATGAGGAGAGGTCAGCGTCCGGGACATGGGCTGGTCAGAGTACCAAGCGAGGAAGCGAGCGATAGCCGTATAGTAAACAGCGGGGTGTAGACCCTCAGAGGGCGTGAACTCGTCCCCTCCCCGACTATGCGGAAGCTCCCGCTTGAACCTCGCAAACTCTAGCAGGTCGGGATGCGCGGCGAGGTACTGCGAGGAAGGCCAGCGGTGGTATTTCTCAAGCGCCAGGTGGACAGAGAGGTCAAGCTTCTGGAGCTCACCAGCGTCTTGAACATGAAGCCATGCTGGACGAGCCCGAGCTTCGAGAGCTCTTCGTTGAGGGTAGAAACCTTCGCTCGGAGCTGACTAGCATGAAATCCATCCGTGCCGATAGGCAGGCCGCCAAGTGTAATCCCGCCAGTGACGACCTCGAAGTGAAGAAGTTGAGTCTTGAGACGGCGCTTAAGGCTCTTCTTCAGCTGCGAGAGATCAGGGTGTTGATGCCAGGAGGGGATGTAAACTTTCGACTCGCGAGGTTGAATCTCTAGCTTCAGATCAGCTAACATGTACTTCTTCATAGCGGACGTAGCTGCAACGGCATCCTCGAGTGGACCGACAAGCACGACGTTGTCAGCATAGGCCAAGACTCGAACAGAGGGAAAAAGCTCTGCGATATGGAGGAGCAGGGGGTGGATACTGTGGCAGAAAAATACGCTGGAGGGGACATCGCCCTGACAGACGCCCGAGGTACACTGAACGGAGGCTGACTGACTTTTGTGAAAGAGTCGAAGGTCAGCAGAGTCTCCATAGTAGCTGGAGAGGTAGGAGGCGAACAAACGGAGATGCTCGCAAGAGGGCAAGCTTGCGCCTTCAGTGATGCTCCCATCAAAGTAGTCGCGACTCGCACGTCCCTCGATTGCATCGAAGAGAGCCTGGCGGTCGAGGGAGTTGAAGGCGTTCTTTGCATCCAAACTCACCAGCACTGTGGGGTTGGCAACATCCTCATCATCACCGCGAGCGTGAAGGGGCAGGAGCGCTGGCGCGGTTTGCGAGAACTTCAGACAGCCGTCTCGATCGAGTCCGAACTGAATCGCTCGAGGGTGAGACGAGAGGAAGTGCTGGTCAAGAAATGAGCGAATCGCTGCCAAAGCAAGCTTCGTCGCGAGTCGACGGTGTGCAGAACCGATGACAATTGGCCGGAGACCAGGTTTATCAGCTCCCTTGGAGAGGGGAATAAATCTGCCTCCTCGACGAATGGCTGACAGGGCAGGAATAAGAAGATCCGGCATCCGGCCAAGAAGGACCCCTTGGAGGATATGTTTGCAGTAGAGCTTCAAAGCTGCAGGATGACTAGAAAGGGGTGACAGGTGTTGCCGAATCCTCCACCCTTGGTCATCGGTCCCCGCAAAGGAGCTGTAGCGCTTGATTGCCTGGATCAGGCTAGTGGTGTCGAGGATGTCAGTCAAATCCACCTGCAGTACTGCAAGCGCTTGCTGGGTGAGATGATCCGCGGAAGCACTTCCAAAGGCAGGCGACGCACCATCAGGGAACTTCTCTTGTGCTTCAGCAAGAAGATCAGCGAAAGATTCAGCCCTGTAGATGCCGGAGCTCAGTAGTGTCCGTACCGCCCGATGAAGGTCACCCGCAGTGAACTGATGAATCGCCAACTGTCTTTGGCGCTCGCTCGCAGAGGTGAGGGACAGCGTAGGTCGCGGCGGAGGAGCAGGCTCAGACTCCTGAGACGATTGGCCGGACTGCCGCTGCTCCCTCGGCCCGCGCGGTTGTAGATAGATATAGGATTTACTGGCAGAAGATAAAAAGTGCCTCAAGGGTCTACACCCCGCTGTTTACTATACGGCTATCGCTCGCTTCCTCGCTTGGTACTCTGACCAGCCGATGTCCCGGATGTTGCCCTCTCCTCATAGCCTGGACGTTCACTGCTCGAGATCTCTCCGTGCCCAGAAGCATCCTCTGGCGACCTTCTTCGTTGAGGCGCACGACTTCGTTCATAATGCTGGAGCGATCCTCTACCGTCGTGTCAAGGCTCCTGCACCGGCTGCAGATGGCGCGGCGATCCCACCTGCCCCGGCTGCTGTGCCTGATGACGCAGGACGCCCCCCGGCATCTGTGGTACACATCCCTGGTTTGCGCGCTCTCGTCGACTCGTCTCATGAGCACTTCATTCCTCCCCCTGCGCAGCGAAATGTGACTCCTCTTGTAATGCGCGTCTTCCCTCGACATTGTGCAGCTTCTCGCTGTGGACTGTGTACCTGCCGGTTCAGCTTGTTCCTGCTTTGTTTTGCTTGAGGCACTTTTTATCTTCTGCCAGTAAATCCTATATACATGTGCATGCTCGCGCTGCGCTGACCGATCAGCAGCGTGATATCCTCACCTTGCACAGCCGCAGGACACACTCGCTCAAGTCGCAGGATAGGGTCTTGCAGTCTACCATCTTCGCTCATTTTCCTGAGCGAGACCTGAGCCACTCTCCGATGCGAGTCTCGAGCTACTACCCCCTCAAGGCCTTCCCGCACCGCTATGCTCAGATGCTCGACTGCTATCTCCATGGCATGCCGATCTGCCAGTGTCCGACGAAATGTGATGGATGTCAGCGCGAGCTCGATCCCTCCGTTGCTGCACATCATCTCCAGACCTGCAAACGCCGATCCTCCAAGCTTCCCACGGCGCATGACAACCTTACTCGTACGATTCGGTCGATGCTGAACGAAGCTGGTCTTCAGAGCGTCATCGATACAGTGGGGGATCCTCGTTCTCGACGGCAGGTACCCTCCCATCCTCATGGCCGCAAGATGAAGGGCGATATCCACATCCCTGGAATCCGCGATCGAGGGTCCGAGCAGTACGAGGGCTTGATGGCGGACGTGACGTTGGTCCACCCTTACATTGGTAGCTCTGCCGACCTGACCAAGTGGGGGGAGGTCAACCTCGACGCCCTCCATGTTGCAGCGTCTGAGAAGATTCGCAAACATCGCGCTGCATATGCCATGACTACTCCTCCTCGAGCGTTCATCCCTCTTGCCATCTCGACGGACGGTACCCTGCATCCTGACACCCTCCGCTTCATCTGGTATTTGGCGGACATCATTGCTCAGCGCTCGATGCCTCTTGAGGATGCGGCGTTTGGTCGGCACTTCGTGCCTGATGACGGACCTGCTGCTGAGGTCTTGGCTCGCAAACGCGCCGCCACCTATCAGCGCCTCACCATGCAGCTGACGCTGGAGGCGCTCTTGTCTGGTGCGAGGCGCATGACGCCCTTGCGGGCGCAAGCACTTCTCGAGCCAGAGGACAGCTCCTCCTCGGACTTTGTCGAGTCGCCCGAGGGGGAGTCTTCGCCGGAGGTCTCCGACTCCGATGGGGGAAACCCTTCGAGTGGCCCCGACGATCGGCGCGGAGCTGGCGAGGCGTCTCCGTCCCTCACTGTGACGTCGGGTGCCTCCGGAGAGCTCGACACCACTGGGGTGCTTGCTGCTGGTCCGAGCTCGCCTGCTTCCTCCCCGGCATCGGTCGGGTCACGCCGATCCTTGGGCATTGCTGCGGCGTCGCCGCCGTCACGGGCGGCTACCACTGACTCGGCTACCGCTGACTCGGAGGCTAGCGAGGAGGACTACCTCGAGCGGTACCGTGTTCATGTGTCCAGCCTCCCTCCGTCCGCTGCCCCAGGCGGACCCCCGGGCAACGCCGGCTCCTTGTCGGCGGCTGCCCTTTCTCCGTCCGCGGCCGCCCGCTTTGTGGCGGCAGCGGACGTCTCGACTGACAGTGGTCAGTCGGCTGCCTCCGGGTATCGCGTGTAAGGGATTTTATTCCTCCTGCATGCTCCTGCTGCTTGTTGCTTGATTGCTTGACCCTTAGGCTGCTTGTCTGCGCGGCTTCGCGCTTGGGCTGGCGCTGCCGCGTCTGGGTGCCAGCAGTGCTGGTTGTTTTCGGGCTTGTGTTTTGTGTGTGATTGTGCAGCTTCTCGCTGTGGACTGTGTACCTGCCGGTTCAGCTTGTTCCTGCTTTGTTTTGCTTGAGGCACTTTTTATCTTCTGCCAGTAAATCCTATATGCTCAAGCAGGTTGTGGTCGCTGCTGTGGTGGTTGCTGGTGTTGCTGCTGACGCGGACGCTGCTGCTGACGCTGGCGTTGCTGCTGCTGCTGCTGCTGCTGCTGCTGCTGTTGCTGCTGCTGCTGACGCGGGTGCTGCGGCTGCGGCTGCTGCTGCTGCGGGTGCTGCTGGTGGCGGTGGTGTTGCGGCTGCGGCTGCGGCTGCGGCGGCTGCGGATGTGGCTGCCGCCGCCGTTGCTGTTTCTGCCGTTGCCGCCGCCCTCGCGAGGGCTGCTGGGGCGGTTGCAGCTGCTCCGACTCCTGCAGCTGCTGCTGTGGGACGAGGGCTGCAGGTGCCGAGGTGACCGCCGAAGTTGCTGCTGCTGCTGCTGCTGCTGCTTCTGCTGCAGCTGCTGCTGCTGTCCTTGGGGCGGTGAAGGCTGCCGCGCCCCCTTTCGAGACTCGCATCGGAGAGTGGCTCAGGTCACGCTCATTTTCCATTGGTAGCTCTGCCGACCTGACCAAGTGGGTGCATATGCCATGACTACTCCTCCTCGAGCGTTCATCCCTCTTGCCATCTCGACGGACGGTACCCTGCATCCTGACACCCTCCGCTTCATCTGGTATCTCGCGGACATCATTGCTCAGCGCTCGATGCCTCTTGAGGATGCGGCGTTTGGTCGGCACTTCGTGCCTGATGACGGCCCTGCTGCTGAGGTCCTGGCTCGCAAACGCGCCGCCACCTATCAGCGCCTCACTATGCAGCTGACGCTGGAGGCGCTCTTGTCTGGTGCCAGGCGCATGACGCCCTTGCGGGCGCAAGCACTTCTCGAGCCAGAGGACAGCTCCTCCTCGGACTTTGTCGAGTCGCCCGAGGGGGAGTCTTCGCCGGAGGTCTCCGACTCCGATGTGGGAAACACGTCGAGTGGCTGGCGCTGCCGCGTCTGGGTGCCAGCAGTGCTGGTTCTTTTCGGGCTTGTGTTTTGTGTG